CAAATCTAAAATTAAATATTTTACTTAGAAAATATATAGCTAAAATTAATATATAAGTTTTTATTAAAAAAATTAAATTTTTTAATAAAAACACAGGCAAATTTGCCTGTGTTACAATTTAAGGGATATAGTTTTAGCTAATTAAAATTATTTATTTAAAATCAGATTGGGGAGAGAGGAGTGGTCTCTTAATAGAAAAATATTAGCTGATAAATGGCACACCTCTTGAAGTTTAAACAATAATTTTAAATTTAACTTTTTCTTGAATATTGTATTTAACAAAACTATTATATAGGGGTGAGTCAGTAGGAATAGAACAAATTTATTTAATAAATTTGTCTCATTTCTACTAACTCACCTTCATATAATCTTTATCACTAAAACCAATCTAAAAAATCAAAACCCATAGCTATGTCCAATCCTCTTTACAAGATATATATCCAACTACTTGCCCACCTATAGTACACCCCAAGAGACTAGCCTTGAAACTGCTATAGCTATCTATTCTTGCTACAACCATATATTTACAATATTCAAACCTATCCTGGTATAGCTTTGTGTATATATTTTTTCTTTCTAGTAAAGACCAAGCTTTGTCTAATTTTCACTTATCTATCTTCTAATAATTCTACTCTGCATAAGGCAACACATAATCTAATAAACTCATAGCTTCAGGAAGTCTAAAGAAAAAATTGAATTATTATTATTATTAGTGATTTTAATAATAACCCAAACAAAAAAAAGCCCAAAACTTTATTTTCAATATACTTGATATCTCTTATATGACAAGTCTTTTTGATTTTTATTTTATTGATGCATCTATCTAGTGTAGACAAAGTCTACAATATCAGAAAGTTTTTAAGAGTGTGTATAATATATTGTTCAACAAAATTCTATATTCTATGCATTGTACAATAATTTTTATTTAAAAAAAAACTAAAACAAACAAAATTGCAATTTTGTTTAGTTTAGTTTTTTCTTAACAAAAATTGTTATACAATGCATAGAATATAGAATTTTGTTGAACAATATATTATATATACCTTAAAAACTTTCTGATGAAAGTCAAATTAATAATATATAAATCAACACAAAAACAATTTTTATAATTTGATACTCACAATTAATCGACACAAAAAGTATAACAAATAGCGACTATGTAATAATTACTACAACTTAATATATGTATTTCTATATTCCCAAATGATGTATTAAGAAGAAGAAAAGAAGAAAAATCTTTTTCTACAAACAAATAATAAATAAAGTCACAAATCTTTTTAGCACAAATAAAAACTAAAATACAGCAAAATTTTTACCAAATACCAATAACAGATACAACTACACTTGAATATCCTTTCTAATACAATCTCTTAGTTAGCTATAGCTAACATACACTATATCTGAATATTTCATATATACTCTTTACAAGCTACCAAGCTCCATATAGCTCTAAAGCAAGTTAACAGTGCAATATATACCTGTAAAACACTTACTCTTCTACCTTCTTATTGCAACTATATCACACAATCAACTTTAAATTATCCAAAGCTTTTGGTTCACTTTCTTAGCTCACACTGATAATATCACCTAATCAAGACCCTCAGATTACACTTTCACAGCTTAAAAAATAGCAAAAACAATTTGGCATATATGCAAAATAGAGGCTAAAAAGACCCAAAAAAACAAAATTCAACATTATATTAATAGACAATATGAAGATATACAACACAATACAACTCAAGCATTTTACAATACTACAAAGATCACACTAGCTTTGAAAAAGTAGTTATACCCAACCAAATATTAACTGATCTACTAGAGATAAAAAAAGCTACTCGCATCTATTTTCAAAACTAAACCAAAGCTAATCCTTTAAATAACAACTTAATACTCGAATGGTTAGTAGACTACAAGCCCCAGACCTCTATCTTCTCCAAACGTACAATCCATTAGTAAAACCAATTACTTTAAAAAAACTAAATAATCTCTTATTTGAAGCTCCTTTCAAAAAAGCTATAGAACCAACTAAAATAACAAATGAGGTGCTTCAATATCTTGGCTTAACTGCAACAGCAGCTCTATTATGCATTTTTAACACCTGTTATAATTTACAAACTACACTCATGACCTGGCTACAACCCACCCTATCACATTAATCAAATATATATGAAAGATATTTATTAAAATACTCATCTAGCATCTTAACAAGATATTACTTAAACACAATATTTTTTCTTTTAATAACAATGTTGTACTACCTCACATATCAACACTCAACTCTATTCTCACTATTTCCTATATTCTCAAAGATAGTTATATTAACAACAAGACTTACTAGATCTTGGCCCAAGATATAGAATAAAGTTAATAAAAAACAAATTTTTTCTAAGTGAAAGTTTTCTTAACTTTAAGCTTAAATATTTTAGCAATTACCTTATCAATTTAATATTTTAATTCTTTATAATTTTAAAATTAAAATAAAAATTTTTAGCAAGTTTGATTAATTAGTTGTTGAGATATTTTAATTTAAAAATTAAAAAAATTTCATCAAAAATAATTTGTTTCTTTTTTATTGACTTCACCCTATATATCAAAGGTCTATAATATAGTTTATATTTCTCTTCTAGCTCTAGCTTTTAAATGAATAAAATCCTACTAACAATTACCAACTTTCTAACTTTAATTTTTCTCTAATAACAAAATAAAGTAATAATGGACTATAGATTTATTCTCTTTTACCAAGTTGCGAATAGTATTGATTAAGAGGAAACTATCTGTTCTATTCTATGATATATTTATTATAACCCACTTATATTTAAAGTCAGTAAACAAATCTCTGGCTACACACTTCAAATAATTTTCCCCCAGGGTATAATACAACACAACATATTTATAATGGCCTTTATAAATGACACAGTATAAATAGCTACTAACAAACCCCAATTACAACAAATTCTCAACATAACTAGCTTCTTTCTTTAATATATAAACATTAAAATCAACCCTAGCAAACCAACTTTAATTATTAATAATACTAGCACTGATCTTACAATTAACTTTCTGATATATAATATTTCATTTAAAGCAATTTTCAGATATCTTAAAACATGGTTTTCTCGAGACTCTACCTATAAACCTGTACAAAAACATATCTTAAGTAATACAGTCAGACCTTTTTAAATGCATTCCTCTTAAATACATAATCTTTTTAAATGCATATAAATTATCTGGCCTATTAATAGGCTTAATAATTAAATGTATATTCTTTATTCTGTATATGCATACTATTTGTTTGGGCTTATCTATATTAAATCCTTCTATAAATATATATCACATGATCACCAAACAACTAAATTGAAGTAATATTATCAAATATAAAATGCAAATTATCTTTCTTTGGCTTATATACTGTATAAGTGTAAGGAGCATTTTGAATAATAGCCCAAATTAGGCTTAATTTAACCAAAATTCAAACAATACTCTTGTATATTGTTTCATGCTTAATGATACATATTTATTTTAAAAACAATTTTTATTAAAAATTTTCTATTATATTTTGATTTCAAACACAAATTTAACCAAAAAAAAAATGATTATATTTTTTTAGTCACTAATTTTTTCATATTTTAGCAAACTTACCCTCTGAAGTTTAGATATTATAGCTAGTAACCTGAATTTAAAGATTATTTGGTTAGTAAAAATTATAAGTATTAGATACTGTATAACATATCCAAACTTCAGAAATCAACTCTAGGGAATCATAGTATGTATGTATATAGCATACAATAAAAGATAAAACATATACAACCAATTAAAAAAAAAATAATAAATTTAAACAATAGATAAATATACATATACATGTATATTATACATTATTATGCATCTATATTTCAGGTTTTTCTTTGTTGCTCTGGCTCTAGTCCAACTTTTTTTGTCACTCTGGCCCTGAACCCAATTAAGTATAAATTAGTATTCTAAATTAAAACAAAAAAAAAATTTAAATAAGCAATTAATAAATACTTATTTTCTTATTTTTCTTTTATTATCCTGGCCCTGGGTCTAATTTTCTTTGTCACCCTGGCTCTGAATCTAATTAAATATAATACAAGTTATGAAATTAGTATTCTTATACTTGATTTAAAAAAAAAATCAAAAGTACTATATATGAAATAGAATCAATATATCTATTTTTTTTTTATTACTTTGGTCTAAGTCTAATTTTCTTTTTTATTTCAATTCTAGATCCAATTTAATATAAAAAATTTGATAAATAAATAAAAAATATTTGAAATTATTTAATATATAAACTTATCTTAATTATTATGATTTCAATATTATATAAATTATAAAAAAGCTCTTTGATATAAATGTCTATAATAATGCAATTGCCTTATTTTATTGTTGCAAATAATAATTTAGATTATTAAGTAAGCTAAATGAATAGTTGTCAAATTACAATAAAAGAGAGATATATTTACCCAACTTACAAAGTTTTTGATAAGCTAGAACTATATTATATTAATTAGAAATGTCTTCTTTAAAATCTAAAAAAGACAAAACTACTTTAACCAATAAACAAAGAAAAGCTATTATTGAATATAAAGAAAAAAATTTTCAAATTACCCAAACTGATCTCATCAGTTGGGTAAAACAAAAAATGAGTCTTAATGTTCATCAAACTACTATTAGCTGTCTATTGAAAAATAAAAAAACTATAGATGAAAACCTTTTCGCAAAAAGACAAAGAACAGTTCAATATCCAGAACTTGAAAATGCATTGATTGAACAGATATTACAAAGTCAAGAAAGTATAATACTATCTGATAAAATTATAATAAAAAAGCAAAAAATTTTGCCAAGTTGCTATACATACCTGAAAGCAATTTTAAGTTCTCGCATGGTTGGCTAGACAAATTCAAAAAAAAGTATAGCTTAAGATGAATAGTAAAACATGGAGAGAGATGTGTCTATGTGTCTACCAAAATTTGATAATCAACCAATCAAATTGTGTAAATTTGATCATTTCAGATTAGCCTGACAAATTAAACCAAAGCAAAAAAAAGCAAAAAAAAGCAAAAAATACAAAAAATACATGAAACAACAGCCTAAACCTACTTTGAAGTATTAATAAAAAGTGTCAGAAAAGTGATTTTACATATATAAAGCTTCTCTAACTCTAACCTAATCTTAACTAGACACTATAACTTTAATTTAAGTTTAAAAATAGTAAATAAACCTTTGATCTTATAGAGAGAATGTCTCTGTAGATAATGCAGTCATTGAAGCTGCTATTTCTAAATTAAGAGGAATTTTTAAAAAATATAATTTAAAAGACATTTACAATATGGATGAGATTATTTTATAGATATTAAATAAATAAATTATATTATACTATTAATATTTATCTTAATTAAATTTTTTTTTTTTTTTTTAAGACTAAAACAAAATACTACTCTAGCAACTATTCGGCTTAAGAGAAAAAGAAAAAATAAAGAACAATTAACTATAGTACTTTGTGCTAATGCTGATGGAACAAATAAACTAGCTATTTATTATAGATAAGTCACCTAATCTACATTGCTTTAAATTTATTTATTTTTTTTTGCAAACAAGCAGTCATACCACAACTTTATTACTTAAATGTAGATATTACAAACTTTTACATTTGAATTTACTACTATAGCTATGCTGCTTTATACTAAAGTGTGATTCACCTAGTTTCTAATTGGACCTATGTGTGACATGCCAGAGCAGAAGCAACCTCCTTGCTTATCTAAATCTGCCTCAGATTTAGAGTCCACAATTCACCGGCCGGAATCTACTAGCCCATCATAACTACCTATCTCTTCTTGTAAACTTTTCCCGCCTAGATCCGGGTAGAATAGTTTATCTTTTACTTTTCTATAAGGGAATACTATATGCCAAATTTACCAAAGAAAAACAAAATTTAGAAAAGAAAGAGACAAAAAGAAAAGAAAAGAAAAAAAGAAAACATATTAAGAACAGTATGTTCTAAATCTGATTCTATCATAAAGGGATGAAGATGGAAAAAGTACAAAAAGGGACAAGGTATCATGACATACATTTAGAAAAAAAAAACGAAAGGGGTGCACTGTTATAATCTGTACAAGGCTGAAAAAATTATATACTATATGCAACGTTTGTATATCTCTATTGTAAAGCTTCGCCTTAACTTTGAGTTTTTCTTTCTGACCATTCAGCGTACTTTGGATAGTTTCGCTCTAGCTCATCCTAACCCATATCTCAAGCCAGGTGCTGCCCCGTCTATAGACCCATATCTCAAGCCACCTGCTGCCGCCATTAGGAGTACCTTCTTCCTAATTAGGGGTTTTTTATCCAGAGCCCAATCCTGTATAGAGGCGCCGTATTCATAAAACACATGATTGCAGTCTAATAGACTATCCGAATTTGGAATGTAAACAATGCTGATTTTTTGGAGAGGGGTAAGCCAAATCCACACTTTTTTTGAAAAAATTTTGGAAAACCGACAGGAGAGTGGAAGTGAGTAAGAAAAGAGTCACTTGTTCAAATAAAAGAGTGTGATTTGAGAATAGCAAGTTCTTCACTGTTCCCCAGTTATTTCACAACAGGTTGCTTCGTCGATGGAGAAATACTATCCCTTAAATTGTTTTGCAGCCAAATTTGCCTGCAAACTTTTTTAAATTTTAAAATTTTTTAATAAAATTTTA